TAACCATCTATCGTTCTTTTTCAACAAACGAGAGAGGTGTACAGTCATTTCGGCGTAATTGCGTGAATACTTATGCAAATACGCCGCTAGCCCAAGGAATTTTCGAAGACCTTTGATATCAACCGGCACAGGCCAGTCGGTGATCGCCTCGATCTTTTCGGGATCAGTACGTACACCGTTCTTGCCAACGATGCACCCAAGAAGTGGTATTTCGCTTGCTGCAAATATACACTTCTTGAGGTTTGCATACAATTGATGCTTTCGCATGATTGTAAGAACCTGTCGGACGTGGTACCTGTGAACCTCAACGTCCGACTTTCCATCCATATCCCGACTATGGATGAATACGTCATCAAAATTACTCGGCGCGAATTCTCGTACTAGTCTCAACAGATGTGATACACATCTGTTGAACGTGGCAGGGGTATTACTAAGCCCTTGTGGCGTTACTAGCCATTCCCAGAGCATGCCGCTAGGCGTGCTCACTGCGGTATAGGGTGTATACCGTTCTCGAGTAAGGATTTGATAGAAGCCATTTATCAAATCCATGGACGAAAAGATGGTACTCTTTGACATACCATCAATGATTACGTCCTTCCTTGGTATCGGCGTCCGAGCCGGTACCGTTGCAGCACTCAACTTGTTAAATGCATGCACTATCCGCCAACATCCTGTTGCTTTTCGAACACAGAAGGTCGGAGAGCTATGTGGGGAAGTTGATTCCCTCACATGGCCCGCAGCTAAACGATCGGCAAAGAACTTGTCGATCGCAAGTACTTGTTCACGAGGCAGTGGCCACTGCTTCATGACAAAGTAGTTCGAGCCTGGTTTAAGCTCGACCTCGTGTCGAATACCTTTATCCTTTGGTAATTCGCACGAAACAGTTTCAGGGAATACATCCTTGAATTCAACCAAATCTTCATAGAGAGGATTTGTCTTGAGCGATTCCCACGATTGGGAGTCATATCGCTCAATTCGTGTCTTTTCATCGAGGACACTCTCGTTCATAGATGAACTACTGAGAACTCTCTCATTCTCAGTAAACACTGTTGCTGACCTTATGTCGGTTACACACTCGTCGTCAGCGACGAGTACGCAGATCTGCTTGACTTTGCCACTACGCAGATCACGCAAGAACCTTTTATGTCCGAGCGTTGGCAACTGAGTGATCTCCGAAGTCAACTTCGGAGGCGCAATCAGATTAAGTGTATAAGCGCCTACACTTGATCCGTTATTGACTATGACATTCAATGTCTCTGTCATTTCCTGAGGACTTATTCCCTCAGGCTTCGAAGGACTTATTCCTTCGGCTTCCCTGGGACTTATTCCCGCGGGTTTTGGGGAACTTATTTCTGCCGTATTTGTAATATTGGGACTTATTCCCGTTACTTCCTCTAGCTGAGGTTGCGCAACCACAGCGAAATCCTCTACGAAAGACTCTCCAGTCGATCTAGGATTATCGTTTCGCTTAACCTGAGCGATCGATTGTTTCTCTTCTAGATGTTCCCCGCTAGGGATACATCTTTGTCCCAGTCCACCCGACTTATTCGAGTGGTGGACCTTCGGCGCAGCCTGTGTTTCCTCACAGCCGCCGGAACTTTGCTCCGAAGTGTAACCGTTTGGTACACTAAGGTTTTGTGCAGTCGTACTAACGACCGTACCACAAGTGAGGCCATCGCACTCACTCGTAGTACATCCACACGCTTGTGGACGCTCCAAAACGTTCATCAGATGGCCATCTGATGAACAAGCGGCAGGCATCGTTACTGTTCGATGTTGCCAGTTTACCCGTGGTTCGTACCTTCTGAGCCACGGTATTCCAAGGATGACATCAAATTTGTCATCCAAATCCAATACGATGAAGTCATCGTCATATTGGGTATCTTCTAGCGTATAGTGGATCTTCACTACACGCTTCATGACGGTTACGGATGCGCCTGTCGCAAGACGTACCGTCATCCTCGTAGGAGGTGTGTCACATTCACTGAATTTAAAGTGACCATCTTCTAGCGATTGGCGTCGCACAAAATTGTTGGACGCCCCACAATCGACTAGAGCTCGAAGGGACAACTTATTCGTCACTTCGAGTTTCAAGGTAATGAGTGAGACCTCATTACCTAGAGCAGCAACGCACAACGTTTGTGTGTTGGGAGCAACCTTCATCAAGAGGCCTACAAATTCTCTTGACGTTGCTGGACCAGTAGGGTGCTCCGCACCTACTGATCCTGTCCATTTTTTGACGGTCCATCCCGTTGTTGCGTCTTTGCACCAACAGCGGACCCTCGTCTATGCCCCTTTCTCATGGGTGGACGATCACTACGCCCAGTATCGCGAGATACTGGACGAGGGGCACTACACTCGTAAGCGTAGTGTCCTGTCTTTTGACATCTGTTGCATCTCTGTAGCCTGTAGAGCGAGCCCTCTCGCTCTCTACATAACAGAGTTACATCGGCTCTGGACCTCCGCTGTCATACAGTCTCGGTGGACGATATTATGTCGAGCTGGCGCAGGCCTGTCTCAGACTGAAGTCTTCCTGTTCCGCAATGGAAACGGCTTGTTCTAGTAAATCTAGTTCAAGTCGGAACAGGTGAGTCTTGACGGGACCATCCGCAAGACCCTGCATGAGCACCGAAACCTACGTGTGTTTATCCACCGGGTTGGAACTTATACAACTCGTGAGATGTCGTATATGTTGTGCGTAAGCGTGCACATCACGCTTACCTTGTTTGGGCTTCAAGAGTTCGGTTCGAGCTCTAAACTCATCTCTAGGCGGTTCAAACGTTTGTCTGAGCCGCGACTTGAAGATTTTTAACGACCCAAACGCATATGGGTCGTGCAACTTGAGTCCCAAAGCCCAAGTCTTGGCACGTCCTGCCAGATTTGATTGGGCAAATGCAACTTGCATTCCCCATCGTCGACGCGACGCGTCCTTATGGCGTCGTCTAATTCGACAAACCTTCTCAGGAGGGAGTCCTCTTTGACTCCCCTATACTTGGAGATGTCAATCTTCAAGGTCTCGGGTCGACGCGAATGCATCGACCCACCAGCAGCAGCCTGCTGCTGTCTCTACAGTTCAAACTGTTGAGCACCCTGTTCTCTCAACAACTCTGATTGTTGTTGTTGAGAACCTTGTTGGTGAAGCAAGGCTACTTTCTCGCGTTCGGCGTCAAGTTCATTTTGAATGAACTTGGCGATAGTAGCATGTTGGGCATCTCTATTGAGAGCCTCTAGCATGACGCTAACAGCATAGATGCCCATGGTTAAACCCATCCGTTCAACCGCATCCCATTCTACATTGCTCAAATAAGAGTAGCCGTCACGCGTAGCGTGAAAGCTTTGGTCATCTTCATCATCCAACACATTCAAGTTAGATGTGAACGTGGTCCTTGGACGGACTACGAAGTGCTACCAGGTGTAACGGGGCACCCTGGAGCTTGTACTGGTGACAGTACAAGCTACTCATTCTGATGACAGAATAAGGCGGTGCCTCGGAACTTCACGTACACTGGTACGTGCAGAGGAAGGCGGTAAGAAGAAGCGAGTACTTGGTTTAAGTAAAAAGTAGAACTGGATTTATCATAGTTAATGTCTGCAATAAATCACTATTTATCCTCATCTAACTGTGTCTAAATACAAATGTGCATATCAACTATCTGCTCACCACTCATTGCGTGCGTCTGTCGTGGCGCGTCTTCGTTGGTTGATATATTGGCCTATATCAACCAATTAGGAACTACTCGTAAGTGCTACAGAATATTTGTCCTTATGACAATATTCTGAGAATAAAACTCTGATAGTTATATTCTATTGACAATTTCTTATTAATTGTTATGTAACGATTCACCCCGTTACAAACATTATCTATAAGGGTGATATAGTGAGGAATTGTGTTTGTCCTAACATAGTATTCATACTTGATAATTACCAAATGTAAATTATCACCTAATGGAGGCACCTCGTTGCACCACTGGATGGCGGTAGCCAGAGTTGCCAAGCTCTGCTGATATGTAAACGTCTGTTTATGCAATATGAATGAGTAAAAGTAAAGATGTGGACGCTTTGGAGTGCGATGTAAGCTATTGTAGAAAAGAGGGCCCCAAAATTGGATGAAAGCGGCAGATGGCAAATTATCGACCGTCTTTGACAAGCAAATTTGGATTGAATGTTTTATATATAAGCATATACTAGCCCGTTAAAACGGTTAGCGATCTTGTAGTTCAGAATAGCAACATTCACGGTACGAAGTAACCCCGACCGAAAGCCCTTCTCTTAGATGCAACATCGTGATCTTGCATAAATTAGGAGCAAATGCAATATTTTAAAAGATTAAAGCAGAGGCAAGAGGAAAGGTGTGCGCTTTCTCAAATGAAGGTCAACGTCTGTACAATTTGCTCACACAGTTACTCGACGGGCTGCATTATATGTCTAGTTTATGAGTCTGTGGGTGTGATATTAGAACCACAAAAAAAAACTTACCGAAAGTTAGTGGTATCAGTGAACAGCGCAGCTCATCAGTACCACCGTTCATCATACAAAAGCGGCCGTTTTGTTTGTGGCACTACGATGACGGATTTGTACCACTGGACATGACGAATTATCATATATTCATAATCTATGTACTTAAAGCTATTGAAATGGTAATGCGTAAAGATGATTCGATTCAACGGCGAACTGCTGGCTAAGCATTACAACAATTATTTCGTATTTGTGATATACTGTGGTGTCGGTAAGACTGCTGCTCTTGCGAGTTTTGTGGTGCATATCAGTGTATATCTACCAGATTTGTATGAAAATCCGTCTTGCGAACCTGTTGTAGTTCACTGACCAGTAGCTTTTTTAGCACGACATAAAACGCCACGCTGACACGTCTAGTTATCTTTCCCACCACAATATCCAGCACGGATAAAGGAGCATCGTCAACGCTTTCAAGGTATAAACATAGCATGAACAAACCAATCCGACCATCAAAATGCTAAGTCATAACATGTTGTTGAGCTACATCAACTGTTGTGATACGCCGAATGAGCTTTTGCACCCGTGTTAGGGCCTGCACTGCCAAACGCACTTCCGCTGATGCTTTCAAGGAGGAAGGCGCCACTGCTATTGCTAGAGCGAAGCTGCGAGCTCGTCGTTGCGCTGCTAGTTGTTCCATATCCACGCTGTGTTGCCTACAAGACACAAAAATTCGGTTCAACAAATTCCATCGACACCTTACTATTCACTTTCACGTACCTGATATTGGTACCCAGAAAGCATTAAAACGGCATCTTCTTGGTGAGGGTGACTCGAAGCGACCCCACGAATGGGCGCGTACGCATAGTTTGGCGTCAAGGGCTTCTCACGTGCATTGTTAGCACCATAGCTACCGCCGGATAAGGATGCGGAGGCCGAGGTGGCAGATGACGAGCGAATACGTTGTTGATGGGACGTTGCGTGTTTGTCCTGACGCGTGAAGTACAGCAGTAGTACGCTGGGAATAAACTCGGTGGAGATATGAATGATAAACTCGAATGCGATGTAGCGGACACCCACGGGAGCGCGAAACTGTGCCTCCTTCGACTCCATGTAGCCAGTGCCCATTCCAATCAGATACACCGCTTTTACTGAAAACAGCACACAGAGCAAAATGCACACAGCCGTGATCTAGCCACACCACATATCAACAGAGCACATCAGTCGACCAAACACGTGCACGAATAAATGCAATCGCTAACTTACCCTTCGCAGTACCAATTGTCGCGGAGAGATAGCCTTAACTGAAAACGGCGACCTTCGCTCGCGCCCAGCAGTCGCATCACTGTTACCCATAGCTGCTGACGATAAGTCGAAGAAAAAATCATCATCTGGGCTTTGGTTGCGAAAAAAGTCGACCAGCCTGATACTGTAATACAGGATGACGAACAGCCCAGCAAAGAAGATACCTCCTTGCAGTAAGTCGCATCCTCTCCAAAACCCGGCCACTGTGCTCGCAAACACCGCCAGCAGCACAAAACCAGCATACAAAAGCACGTTGAACAAGAAAAAGACCCGCCGGGGCCACGGATGGGCCTTGCCTCGACAAGCGTAGCACAACTGTGCCCAGAAGAGCAGCACAAGTCCGTACATGGACACGAACAACATCGACGGAAGCCACAAGAAGAGCGCCAAGAGCTTACAATACACTGACGTGGACGGGAGATCCGTGACCATTTCGAGCGTCGCCACTTCCGTGACCATGGAACAGACTCGCAATGTCGACGCCCCAAACAGCAGTAAAAAGAGTCTCTGACGCATCTCAAAGCCTGTCGAAGCTGCTGCTGCCCCCTCTTCCTCCATCAAAGCGGACCCGCAGCCACCCACGACGTTCACTGGAGCTGACTGAGCTGGAGGGACAGCAGAATAGGGGGCTTTACTTGATGGTGTGACCCCCGGAACTTCATCTAGAGACGGCGGCGTGAGACTGTTGAGACGTTTGCGCTTGGCCGCGTACTGTCGATACAGTACGCGCCCCGACACGGCGCTCAGTGACAGGAACAACACGATCGTCACGAGCAATAACAGACGGTCGGCTATGCTCAGGACCTGATAGACTGTCTCAGACGCGACGTCAGCGGCCGACATGTCTCTCCAAGGCTCACCCTGTTAGGAGGTACTTAGAAAAAGGAGCGGCAATCTGGAAGCTTTTATAGCCAATCAAGTCAAAAGAGACAAACAACAAGAAGCTCAGAAGGATATTGATGACCAGAAGGGAGCTTGGCGAAGCGTAAACAATACAGGACAAGAGACTGTACTGGCGCACAGTAAACAAAGACGTACCAGCCACTACGTCGCTCGCTTTTTTCAGAGTGCGGCGAAATTGCGTACCTATTTCATGTGGTCCACATCAATTCACATGACCATCACTCTCGCATGCGCCCACGCCCACTACGCCATCGCATCCACTGGTCGCGCCTCATGTCGTCGAGCTGTTCGTCCGTGACGTGGCGCGTCGACCGCGCTACGCGCCAATCCAGTGTCGAGGCCTTGAACGCCTTTCTTCGCTCTAGTCGCTCGTCGTGTCTTTGTCCGTCCCCTTTGTCTCTCGCTGTCCACGTTTGTGTAGGCAACGAAGCAGCCGACGCCGACTCGATCGTTAGTTCCTTGGCCTACGCTTTTGTATGTACACAGCAGCAGAACAAGCTGCAGAAGCAGCAGAGTGAGTCGGAGACGCTCCACGTCGCTGTCCTGCCCATCACTCGAGCCGAGTTCCCACTGCGTTGTGACGTCGCCGCGATGTTCCAAGCCCTAGCCATTGACACAGCCGCTCTCGTGTTCGTCGACGAGTTCCCATGGTCTTTAAGTGGCCGAGTGATGGTCACCTTATTGGACCATAATGCTCTAAGTAACAAGAAGCTGCTGCCGTGGCGTGACCAATTGGAGATTCAGGAGATCGTGGACCATCACTCGGATCTTGGCCACCATCGGGAGGTGAAGAAACGGGACGTGGCGTTTGCGAACGGACAAGCGCTGGTCGCCAGTACGTGTACGCTCGTGGCAGAGAAGATGGACGCTGCTGTCGTGCGTCACCCAGCTTATCCGGTGCTGTCGACGATGCTGCTGGGAGTCATTGCTCTGGACAGCATTAATTTTGATCCAAAGGCAAAGCGTGTGACGTCGAGAGATGTGCAAGCAGCTCAACAGCTGAAAGAGAAGGCATTTGCTACGAAAGAGGAGCTGTTTACATGGCTACAAGCGGAGAAATTTAACGTTGAGCGCTGGAAAGCATTTACTTTAGCGGATTGTCTGCGAGTAGACTACAAGGAGTTTGAATTTGGGACGGCAGGTAATGACGTGAAGAGGGTTGGCATAAGTGCCGTGTTAGTGGATATTGAGGCTTTTGTCCGCAAGGTTGATGATGCAGTTGCTTTGCGCAACGAATTGTCTGCTTTTTGCAAGCAGAACGACTTGGCATTTGTACTGGTGATGAGTTTATCCATGACGTCTGATAACCAGCGTCAGCGCCAGTTGCTCTTCTTTCAGGAGACGGGTAACGAAGTCAAACGGTGCTTGGCATTTTTTGAAAGTGACGGGTTTTTGCTGCTGACTCCGCTGCAGCTACCACAGACTCATTCGGATGAGCACGTTGCTGCTTTCAGTCAGCTTAACGTCGAAGCTTCCAGGAAGCAAGTTGCACCACTGATTCAGCGCGCACTCGTCGAGTGTCAAGTCGTGCTGCAAGCGACTAGGTCTGCAGCTACATTGTAAGCACTTTTGTCACTCAAAACTTTGACCGCGTACACGCTGGCGTGTACCTTTGCTCTCGGAGATGTTGGAAAACTTGTAACGCATAATGCCCGGTGTTTTTTCTGGCTGCCAAGAGCCCTGGCTTTCTCGCAAGACAGAAGCACATTATGTTTTGAGCCAACAGGATCGTATCATGTGACGAACACTACATGTTCTCTCGTCGTTCCCTATCTGGCAAAGTGGATAAACGCACGGTATGTTGTGTCGTAGTCGTGTGGTGATGCTGATCGTTTAGTCTACTACAACATGAATGAATGCTATATTTATGCAAGCAAGGATGTTTTTCGCCTTTGTTAAACGTGGCCTACCAGCCCACTTTTACTTCTGTAGAGGTCGACTACATTCATGAGCTGTCGTCTAGTGTTAAAGTGAGATATCGATAAATTTAAAATGGCGTGATGACATTTAGTATCACGATAGGACGAATCACCGTTTGCAGCATGTAGAAAAAAGTGCAGCGACAGGTTTGCGTCTTGCCGGTCAAATCATCAAACTGCTGTTTTGTCGTAAATTTTTTTTTCTGAACGCAAATTGTAGCAATGGTACGCAACGCTCCGCATGACAAGTGCGGCAGTTTTAAGGATCCGTTATTGCTTTGGTTAAGTTGATAATTTAGATCTTAAGCAAGCAGTTCTACAAGTTATGGCTAAAAAAGGCAGTGTCATTGATCGAAAATAACGATTATCCTCTGCATTTTTGTAGCGATACGATGGGCGGCACAGTAATAAGCGACCGATTGAGTTGGAGCATGAAGGTCGCAATGTGCTGCCACTTGTAAGCGTAGGAATGCCAGACCGTGGATTTTGGCGGTGCTCTTCTTGACGCTATGAGGCTTATCCGGTGGTATGGCGAAATTGATGGATGTGATTTGACCGAGTCTTCGGGGCTGGATTCGAATATCGACCGTCATGGTAATCGAAGAGGCTCATCAAGGGCCCGCGCGCTCATTATACGATGAGGCTATTCGGTATGTGGGCTGCAGCGCACACAACTGTCCCACACAAAAATGCGCGGCTTGACTTGGCAGCTACGCTTCGATAGGGGCTTCTCAATATTCGTGGTCTATCTTCAGCAATCTGTAATCGAAGCGCCATCCGCGGTTTCTAAAGCTAAGCAATTTCCGGTCCCAGTGCTTGGCCATTGAGGTCGGTATGTGGCCTTAATTGACCAGCTTCTTTGCCTTTACGACTTTTGGTTTCGTCGATACCTATTTTGGAATAGCGCTAGCAGAAGCATATAAGATTGTAAGTTAACGATCCTGCGCAGCACACGAGCGATGTATTCATAGTTTGTCAATCTTTAGCCTCCGCCGTTGCAGCAACGAAACAATTTTACGAATGTTTGGTGGTTTTGCATGGCGATAAAATGATTAGTACTTAAACTGTGGTCCCTCGGAATCACAAACATTTTTTGCTCGGCAGCCGAGGTCTTGTTGAATGGCAATCAAGCGACCGCATGTGAAAGCAAATGACAGTTTTCGGAGCGAACTGCGTGTCAGAGGTTTTTGTGGGTCAATGGCAAACCAGGGGCGAAGCTATAGAATGACTTGCAAAATAAAATGCTCAAGCATATCAATGTCAAGTAAATTATTGACCAATACATATATTTATCGTCCGCCGCTCAACATTGTCATCAAGACCCAACCGCTCATTGGAGGAGCTTGACCTCGCGGGCTACAGCGATCAAATTCTCGCTCGCTTACTCCGCAACCGAGCCTGCAGTAGCAACACTTGTTGGAGCAGATAAGGTAAATAAATACATCCCTTCGTCGTACCTGTTTGAAGAAGAGCTGATAGGAGTAGCTACATCATTTAGTCGGCGAAGCTTAATCTGATGATTTTCAGTCGTACGTCTACCTTTATCGGGGTTGGCGGACGACCTCTGTCGGTGGACATCACAACGATCATTTTGTAGAAGGTACTACCCCGTAATGGCAGGTATCTAGCAAAGATGAACCTTCTTTTCTCAAATGACAGCCGGGGAACATTGGATGGCATCTTATTGCCCATTTGAAGACCATGTAGCGAGATATCCTTGTTTTATTGATGCATCAGCATCCAAGGCACTCACCCTACTATTATCTCGCAAACACTGCGCTAAAATAAAAGGTAGCTACCAGTTTAGGCTTTAGCAGTATTTGTGAGCTCACACATTCTTTACTGCGTCAGCATGGTCGATCTAGTGACTTCAGATATTACTCATGTAGCCTCGTAGCCTTGTTGATAAAATCGAAGATGGTTCTGCGTAAGGGCCATCAACAGCTTATAAGCGACGTCAAGCTTTTCTACTTTTTAATCAGTTTTGCTACGTTTGTAGACTATGTGCATGAAGTTGTGCGACACTAGTATTTAGCATGTGTACGAACACATTTCATAATTGAACACTTTTGTGTATCGCTATGCATTGCACACATTGTGTTTGCCACCATTTTCGCATGTGTTGGACGATTTCGACTCAACTAGATATCATCTGATATCTAACGGCGCTGAGACGTTCTGAGAGAAGGGGTTCGTAAATGAATGGTAGTCGTGGCTAGGTACCTACGGGATTGCAACACTGGTAGTGAACAAGTTGCTTCATGTGCCATCCTTTTACCGATAGCAGCACAAGTTGAAGTCATTTTTATGACGGCTGATTACGTCCAGCATCGTGCACTCGTGCTAGGCTGGCATTTCATAGTCCTACACATGTCCACCGGCAACAAATAGACGGCTCCTATTCCTTAACCTATTCCAATTGTCATAGTGCACGACAATGACCAAGCGCATATTCATGCTTTTTTGCGCTGCAATTTTAACGTGCATCACCTGCTCTTACGCGATACCAGCATTGCCTGCCTAGCAAACACTTAGGAACATGCAGCAGGCATGACAACTTGACAGCCTCGACCAAATGCCATCAAAGCGATGTGTCAAAAGTGTTCCGCACTCCAACTATAACAAAAGGTTCCTCATGTACGAGCACAGGCGTCAGCTGACAGCTCTTCGCACAGCTATCGATGGACGAAAGTAGCGACACCCTCGCATTCCTACAACAGCAACACAGTCTAACTTGGACGACAGCTCCGTAGCTCCTTTTCAAAATCACGTACGACACGGACATCATCAGCCAATCGTGTCTCCGTTCGTTCGTTCGTTTTGTCCGTCACAAACGCTCAACGTGAACAGGTCTTTTGGTTTTATCCCCTGCAAACTTCAGACGTGGTCGACGGTGGTCGCCTTGTTTTTTCTGCGACGTGTGTCGACGCCTTCTCCAGTCCCGATGAATCGCGCTTTTCAACCAATCCGCAGCCACCATTGGCAGCATTCAGCTCAATAAAACCCCCGAGATAATCCCTCACGCAGTCGAGAAAACGCCCTCCACCCAAGCAGCAGCGCCAGCAGTTTGTCCGTCCACGAGCGGTCGGTCAGTGGTCCGTCCGAGTCCGCGTCTCTCCATCCCCGCGCTAGCACGTTCACCGTCTTGTCCCGCCTCTATCTCTCTCGCTCACTCCTTCTTCTCTCGTGGTCGATTGCGACTCTGGCGTATACATTAAGCAAGTCTGAGTGCCCAGACGCTTCGTCGAACGCACTGGTCGTGCGCGTGGAGAGCTGTTTAGCACCGAGGCGTTGTCTGCGTGGAGTCAAGTTGGCCTCGTGCAACGTAGAGGCCGCTCGACGGGAGAGCACAGGGACAGCGCAGTCGACGGATGGGATAAGTTGGTTGGATCAAGACCGATTGACACGACGACGACGACGACGGGCCCCTCTTGCTACCTGAATTGAAGAGAGGCACGTGCGAGTCTGTGACGATCGACGCTTCCTTGTCTCTTCTGGCCTCCCTCCCTTCCTCCTTGTTCTTGTCCTTCTTTTTCACTCCCGCCTCGTCTCTTTTATCACTCGTGCTGCTTGAATCATCGAGTATCGTTCTTGAGAGAGAGGGTTCGAGACACGATGATCGCGTCGACGAACAAGCCGACGATGGTCAAGTGGGAGCACCTTTCGTTTGTGATTATGGACGCTCCAAACGACAGCAATCTGCACATTTACCTCAAGGAGCTCAAGAGACACAACGTCACGGATCTCGTGCGGGCTTGTGAGGTCACCTACAGCAGCGAGTCGGTGGAAGCTGCTGGCATTCGGGTGTACGAGCTCGAGTTTCCAGATGGCGAGTCCCCCGATCCGAAAATACTGGACAAGTGGCTTGATTTGGTTGAAGAGTGCTTTAAGGAGAACCGAAATGACTCGAAGTACAACAAGTCTATTGCGGTGCACTGCGTTGCCGGGCTCGGACGGTGAGTGGCCTGAACAATGCAAGGGGCGGACTGAGTGATACGTGCTAGTGTCTCATACGTGCTGTTTTTTGTGGGATGTTGATGATGCACAGGGCCCCGGTGCTAGTTGCCATTGCGTTGATTGAGTACGGATTGGACCCTATCAATGCCGTAGAGCATATTCGCAAGTTCCGACGAGGGGCTATCAACCTGCGGCAGCTCAAGTACTTGGAAAAGTACCACTCTCGGCGCGGTAATAAGGCGAAGTGCACGATTATGTGAAGGGGCGCGCGGTAGACTCGATGCTGACCAGACGTTGTGAAGCCCCTGCGACCTTTCATTTGCTCTGTTTGTTTGCAGTCGTTTTCCGCTAGCGTCGCTATGCGAGCACGGAGACGAACACCTAAAAAAGATTTGCTCAGAATCTCGGCTTTGTTGGCGACCATATTTACAATAATGCATATCTGAATAGGGTATATGTTACAATAGGGTGCACCTTACCAGACGTGCCTAAAAAGTGCATTTTTGTTCGGACAGACGGGCCACAATGCCATCGAATAAACTGTCGAGTGAATAGCCGCTCAATGTGGCGATTGCAGAGGACTTGCCAAGCGGACTTTATTACTAGCGATGGTATTTTTTGCCGACCGACGGCTGTCATACCACCGCTCGACAGATCGAAGGATAAGAGCCACAGTGCTAGTCAGATCGACTGTTACGTGTGCATCAAATCGGTACCACCGTGCTTGTTGCTATGTAGTGGTCTTACATACGAATGCTCGTCCAGCTCGATCCACGACATGGTCGTCATAGTAGTGTGCATGTTCCTGTCATCTGCGAGCATGGTGAAATAAACGCCGCTTTACTCGAAAATAAGTGTGGCTCGACCGCCAACGTCTTTCTTGATGCACGTATGGCCTTTAATGGACACTCCTGCCGTATGACTGGCAATTCTTGGCTGATACGATGCGAGTTCGCTGAACCACTTCACAACGGGGAAATGACCGTTGCAAATGGCGAAGTCAATGGCGACAGTCGTGCAACCTTCGATGCGATGCGCCCAGAGCCACCGAACAATGGCCAAGTGACCCCCCGCTGCAGCGGTATCTATTGCTGCTCGTGTACATCCTTCTGTGCGATTTTCGTGTAGCCATTGGACGACATGCAGGTGACCACCTGCTGCAGCGCTGTCCATTGCGTGTACAGAGCACCCCTCACTTCGGTTTACGTGGAGCCACTTGACAATGTCCAAATTTCCCTGCAAGGCAGCAGCATCCATCACACGAGTTGAAATCTTCATTTCTGGACGATAAGCTGTGAGCCACTTCACGACGTCGAGGCGGCCCTCTATAGCTGCGATTCGCATGGACCAGTCCATACCATGAGCTGTGATCGTAGCGTTTCGTTCCCTGAGCCGATTCAAAAGCGAAAGGTACCCGCTGCATGCCGCCTTTTCGACCGTCCACCAAGTGGTGCAGTCTAGAAACGACTCGATAAGTTTCGGTACTAGCCCGCTGGCGATGGGATCGATCTGGTCTCGTACAACTACCTGCACACTCATCATCCGCTCCATTTTTGCCGTCTTTGCTGTGGTTTGCTGCAGACTTTCCAACGATGCCCTTTGTAATGCTTGTTCGGGATTGAAGATGAAAAATGCGATGTTTGTAGACTCTCACATGCACGCGAAGCTATTCGTCGCGCACACGCTGAAAGGTGAGAGACAATGGCTTACGACCAGAACATAAGGCTGAACGTCGTCTCACTTTTCCACTGACCAAACGAGCTGATAGCTGATTATTGCAGCTCGAATAGCTTCTCACTCGGTTGTGGATGAATTCGACAGCGACATTATATGCGATACCTGTCTCGGAATGGCATCCATCTGCGATTCTCTCATATATCGTGTCAATACTCCCGTCAAATTGGCCTCCATGCTACCGAGCAGCTCGAGACTGCTCTATTTCCGTCAGAACGGGTTTGGCCTTTCATCTCCAATATGAGGATTTCGACCATTTCATTAAGACGAACGACATATACTGCCGCTATCAATGGCTTTGGCTATGCTGAACTTTACAAGACAAGCGATAAACGCATGTTTTGGATGACGCGACTGGATTGATTACTTCATCTTAGATACGCAGACACTTACTTGACTTGCTTTAACTTAATGCCCACTTCCGGTTCACTTCATAGTCCAATTTACCTCATTCAGACCCCTTCAGTGCGCTGCTTGCTGCAAGAACTCGTTCCCCACTCAGTTCCGGTACAAAAGTCCTGTGCTCAACCGGCGCGGGCGGTGACGTGGCGCCTCCACCCCCGTCGCGCTCAGTCGTCGTTCCCTCCGCGACCAGCGCGTGGGCGTCCGTCCGCCCATCGCCTTCCCCGTGTCTTGCACGCGCACGTTCTGCTCGTTTAGCCAGCGCAGAATATCCATGTGGCCATTCAGGAGCGCAAAGTGCGACGCGACACTCGTGCAACCTTCGGTGCGGTTCATCGTGAGCCATTGCACCGTCTTGAGGTGGCCTCCTGCTGCCGCGCTGTCCATCGCCGCTGTCGTGCAGCCCTCTTGGCGGTTTTGATGCAGCCATTGGATGACCTCGAGGCGGCCATAAGCGGCAGCGCTGTCCATTGCAGCAGTCGTGCAGCCTTCATCACGGTAGTGATGTAGCCATTTGATAACACTTAAGTGGCCACGTAGGGCCGCAGAGTCCATGACTCGAGTAGAGCACTCCATGTCCGGCTGATAGGCCGTTAGCCATTGGACAACGGCCAAGTCGCCGCGGTCGGCAGCCGTGCGGAGGGCCCAGTCAAGTTCACGTGGGGAGACGGGCAGCTCTTTTTGACCCAAGCGGTCGAGTAATGGTAGGTACCCGGCACAAGCGGCGCGTTCAATGGACCACTTGTGCGAAGCGTCTAAATACTCGCTTACGATCTCTGCTATATGAGCACATCCGACCAGTGCGTCCTGCTCGCGCAGGACGAGGACGACGGAGGTGAGAGGTGCAACTTGGTGTTGGCTCATTGTACTTGCAGTGGTAGTGAAGTAAATTTAAATGTGACTGAACGAGGAAGTGAGCCGGTGGTCGGTTTCAATTGAGTGTGCGGCGACGGTGGAAGGAACTAGGGGAGCGAGTTGCTCGTACCGACAAACGCGGGTGGTCTTTCCGCGATGGCCGGAGCACTGACGTACCCCCGCTGATCTTTAAAGAGCGCACGTAATGCCAGCGGATTGCGTCAACGCAGTTCCGGAACTTCCTGTTGAACGAGCCAGTAAACAGCTGATCTATCACTATCTGACTACTTGCTCTGACTATCTAATCGACAAAATGACGATGTGGAGAAGTATTTAGTGAGCAAGTTGACGACGCGGTTGCAGCCGCTTGCGAAGTACCATACGGTTTAGACGTCAAGTTGAAGGCAAAAAGGACAGCCTTCTCATCTGTTTTTGTTTGATTTTGTCTGTGGCAAAAGAAGTCTTCAAAGTTGCAGCGGCTGCTGGGACATTCGAATCTGACCACCGCACGTTTCAACGTCAACGCCCGAGCAACAACAGCAACGTCGCACGTGGGATTGCAGCAACTTGTCGCAGAGCCGTTGCGCGTCCGTTATGTTTCGTGGCACCCGAGTTGACGTTGCGCCAGATTGTGTGTACCACTAGCATATGGTGTAGCGTCCACCAACATCAGGTAAACCACTCTACTTTGCGACGTGTTGGCTACATGAACACGACATATGTCGCCTCCCCCATCGCTCCGCTAAAAGCTGCGTATTGAAGTTGGATGCGTCAGGACGAGGTCACAACTCAAAAAGCAGCCACAATAACAGCGCCAAGTAAACTGCAAGATCCCAACTATTGGTTTCTTAAACATGCCGCAGAGCCGTGAACTCGCCAACAAAAAGAACGAGCACAAGGACCGTCACTCACGTGGCCCGTTGGGCACGGGAGATGGCGCTCCGAAGAAGGGTACGTGGCGTTTCGCCCAAGCAGGACGAAGTGCCGGTGCTGAGTGATGTCGTAAATGCGACGTGCTGACGTTCTGGTGTGCAGGTGGAGCTGGCGCGCACAATTGGGGTGTGTCGACGGCTGAAGAGGGAGCAATCACGCTGGATAGCAATGACCCCAACTGCGACAGCTCGGAGGAGAAGTAGGTCGGAAACAGAGGAGGCAGTCAGACGGCCAGGCAATGAATGAATGAATGAATGAGGAGAAGGGTAGGTGTAAACAGACAAGGAGCTAGCGACAGCTGCAGAGCTGAGCCATGGCCGTTGACGCTGCCACAACTTGTCCATGGAGAGGTCGGATTGACAACAAAGTTCTTGTAAGCTACACTGAAGGAAGAGACTGGACTTGCTGTGCTGGTTAAATATGAAGAAGAAGAAGAAGTTGCCAACACAAGAAACGTGGGTTGATGATGTCTCCTATTTCAGTACAGATTGTTCTCATTAATACGAATGCTTGCAAAATCATGGGTAACTTTTTATAAAATCACACAATTTCGATTCTATTTGTAGCGAATCAATTCTACCGTCGTAGTATGTGTGTCTTTTTGCTCTTTATCAATTTACAGAGGGTACCCATTTCCTTCTGTAGCCAACTATCACCCAAAAACCACCAAATCGGTTCGTCGTCCATTAATATCGTCGGCACTATGGCGATGCCATCAGCTGCTGTCAACGCTGCGTCCGTGACAACGATCCCCAACAGCATGTGGCAGTCGCCCCGTCTCATTCAAGAAGGGTCACTCGTCATTCTCTTTGAGACGCACCAGTCTGTCACGTACTGCTACGCGCAGCGCGAGGCGATTTACCAGAACCGCCACGGCGCGTTCTATCACAACGATATGATTGGCCAACCATTTGGGTCTAAAATTAGGTCGCGACTTCAAACACAACAGGGGTGTGGGTATCTGATTCTCTTGGCCCCTACCCCTGAGCTCTGGAGCCGGGCGCTCCGGCATCGGACTCAGATTGTTTTTACATTGGACGCCAGCGCCATCACGTTCGCCGCGGCTCTTCGCTCCGGATCGCGCGTGATCGAGTCGGGGACGGGCAGCGGTGCCCTCACGACGAGCTTTGCACGGACAGTCGCGCCTCATGGCCGCGTCTTTTCCTTTGAATTCAATGCGCATCGAGCTGAGGTTGCGCGTCAAGAGTTTCAGCGCAATGGACTCGGGAGCGTCATCACTGTCGAGTGTCGAGACGCGTGCGCGCAAGGGTTCCCTGAAGAGTTGGAGAGCTCAATTGACATGGTGTTTCTGGACTTGCCGTGTCCCTGGACTGCAGTCAACCACGCGGCAAAGATGTTGAAACAAGGGGGATTCTTTGCGTCCTACTCGCCGTGCATTGAGCAAGTACAAAAGACGTGCGACGCACTGCGAAGTGCGAATTTTGAGTGTGCGTTAACGACGATTGTCGTGGCTTGGAGCTGAAGAAATCTGGACGGGAGAGTTGGGTGTTGATTGCCTTTTTTGTGCTGTGTATTGTAGTGATCCGGACGATTGAAACGCGGTTGGTGCCGTACAATTCGCGGCGGATCGACCTGCCCGTGCCGGACTTTGGATTTGAAAAGCAGAAGGACGCAGTCAATGGAACTGTCTCAGCGGAAGAGCTAACGGTAGACTTGGGCCAAGATGGAGGTGACTTGAAAGCGGTACAGACGAAGCGGACAAAGATCGTTGACCGCAAGCGCAAGTATGTGCCTGGAGGTGTTGGAGAGTTCATCGTGGCAAAAAAGGACGACGAGATCCGTGGACACACGGCGTATCTTACGTTTGCTACTAAGTTTTTTGAGTGAAAGCGTCGACTCTTGCGAGCTGACGAGGTAGCGGGATAGAGATAGATAAGCGCGAAGATGTGCCATACATGTTGCACTCTGGGGTGCGATTACAGAGTTTGCGGTTGTGATTTAAATCGTAATCAGATCAACAGCATTACGACCAGTGTGCCTGAAGCTGAAAAACTTGCCAATTCATTCTGTTTGACCAAATGTTAACAACATGTGGTCTTGGCGCATTCCAAGGTACAATACGCTACAACACTGAACCGGACTTGTCCCTGTAGCGACTGCAAGGTCCAAATTATAACACCGGGGATTAGGATCTACTATAGCACCAAGGTGTTTTTTCACCTTCGAAGGGGCGAGCCAGCCACGTACAATTTGTAGACAGCCGATCAGGAGATTGGCGACTCCAGTACAATAGTCAGAATTGCTTCGTCGACACTACAGATAATCCCAATAATACTCAAAGAAAACCATTCATCATTGCTGATCGCAACAAACTCGAGAATTAGATCACAGTTGAAAGTAAGAAGTCGCTCGTCACCTTTTGTTACTATCATATATGCGGCAAAAAGCAAGTTCAAGGATGGGAGAAGAGGGATACACGTCATTCGTTCTGACGATACAAGCAAGTGAAAAGATTACAAAACGCACTCTTGGACAACCATGTGCTTGTTCACCTTAGATTATACACGTGGAAAATATCAAATGTCCATTATTTGCGACTCCAGTACGTTTGAATGTTGATGTGAAAATTTGCAGTAGCTAGCGCAGCAAGAGCAAAGCAAGCTTTGAAACACACACTTTCGGTTTCTAGCTCGACACAGGCGCTGCTAGGTTGGAAGGGCATGTGCTTCCTGGGTTCATTGCGGCTTCGGCACCGCAAGTAAATGTAGGGATTACATAGTGCGTGGTGTCAAGCTTTGACGGCATGTTTGATGCTAGACAAATTTAAACTGGTTACCATAGATGAATGAAATGTCATTCGCATCAACTTAGCACTTTGTTTCCGATATGATCGGTCAGTATGTTGATACAGTGGCTTACCTTTTCTTCTCATGTATCGGCCACTCGCACTCTGCGACGGTGTCGACAACACGATAGAAATCGGAAAGTGTCACACGCATTTTCGCTTGTGATTCCTTCACGAAGACGTACACGATAGGGACTCAAAAGGGATTAATGTCTTTTCCGGAGCGGATGTTCATTAACCCCGAGCGAATCAGTCTATGCTTTACGATATGTCACTTGTGGTGCATAGGCTGCAGGGTCCCATTTCGTCGATCGAATTTGTATACATCTTAGCATCTTCCTGGAATTGTCGTGTATGTAATGCGACGCCTAACAAATATAAAAAACCACGAACCTTTAGCAAAGATGCGATACCTTTTGCTTGTTGTGTCCCAGCCCTTTTTTGTCTTAACGATTTGGTATCCTAACAGAATTTTAGCTGAAGTAAGAAGCTGCAAATGATGTGAGATGTGCAGCTGCAGTCAATATTCCAACTGTAGTAGAATGGAAAATCTCTCTAGACAGTCGTTGTCTCGTTTTCTTTATCTTTCCTTTTGTGTCTTCTTAATGCCATCAATTACATCCTAGAGCGGTACATGATAAAGTACACGAGTAACAATTACGAGAACACATGCACCAACCCTTGCTCGTCATCTCGCAAATCGGATGACATGAAGACATTCATCCCCTTGTACTGTCAGTTGCCAACATTCTCCACATCAATCGTCAAATAGTTTTGACCCCGAATCATCGAGTCTTATGCCCGGTACATCCGTCAAAATCAGCTTTTGGACTTAGAGTCGACCGCGCTTTTGTGTGTGTGCGCGACCTGAACTCCCTAATATAAGATCAAAAACGCTATACTACCAGCGTGAGCTCGAGTAGTAACGTTGCAGGTTGCGGCAGATCGCGAGCAGGGGAGAGGAAAATGTACGTGAGTGTTTTCACTTTGTCTGACATGCCAGAAGGCAAAACATTCAAAATTGCTGCATTGTTCCAGCTATTCATCGACAACGGAGACCGCAAATATGAGCAGGAAAAATAAGATCAAAGGGTTTTATACTGTACGTGGTGATCAAACGAAGGTCCTGTTCCGCCATATCACTAGCGGCCCATACATGCATGCGCATATAAGTACCCCTCCGCATAATACTGATATGATAGTGTTTCCTTGGCTGGAAACGCACGCCAGGGTCACAGAGAGGATTACGCTGACACGTCAAAAACGGTATCGAGGTGCGGCTAGAGTGATATACTGTAATACCGAAATCAGTCCGGCAATGGAACGTTTTTGGTGTGTTGCATGGTCTGCGATAGCTACAAGTCGATTAGCTGGATGTCACAGCGCAGCTCAAAGATCAATGTTGCAAACGTTGTGCGCGGAAGATAAAAAGGATACATTTTTGCTGCTGTACGCGGTAACTCTAGCTCAGGTCGGACCTCAATACATATCACGACAAGTTACACGTGTTCGAGTTGAATATCGAGGTAGAAATACATGAAGTTATCGTTAAAGTCGTCGGCCAAATTTCGAAGCGGATGAACTCACCCGCAGAATTAGACAAAAGCATATTGCATGGGCGAATATGAGTTGCTGCGATAGGAGCAAATCATAAATTTGTCACTTCTGCTATGTGGAGCGAAGTGGATCAATGTAAACGGTATATCTGGGCTTTTTCTGGATCAACAAGATTTGCTGCCATCAACGCGGGATATGTACTCGTCACGTTTAGTGTCAGAAACGAATAAGAGAAATGAGACACGTCACATGTTAAAGAATGTTCTGTTTAGCAGACGGATTGCGGTCAGCACATGATGATTTCGAGAGAACGCATCCTACTACAATTACGAAGGCTATGTCGAGCTTGCCAAGTAGCTGGTGAAAACGGGCACAATTAGACAGGGTTCATCTTGGACTTGTTCGATACGTACAGATTTTCTCGATTATAGCATCTTATAATAGCCAAGCCTCCAAGAGCGTAGATTTCAAGTCGCCAGAAGCTCTTGTTTGGTCTGATGTAGCGGACCAATACAGACATGTTTCTAGAGGTGGAAAGAGTATGCCATTGTCGATGGGCTATCTTTACTTACCACTTGTAGGTACATAGCACGTCGACAGTGAAGAACTTCATCGACATTGCGGCTTGCAATCTCCTGATATCCTCAAGTGACACTTTGTGAATTATTCGATTGTGATTAAACCAAATAGATGCTCACATATTCGTAATAAAGGTAAATTTCTCTACTTGTACATTTATCCCATCAACCTTTCGATCGTTAGGTATGGTTGCATGAACAAGGTTGGAGGTGCTGCGCTGCTATCAGTGTTGCCTTTTCGTCTTACTTTCAGTGTTGTTGCGATTCGAAAATTGTACGGCTACGGTTTTCATTGACTGTGTAGTGGATAGACTACGAGCACATACAACACCGAGTTGACATACACTATTTGTGATATCGGCGTTCTGCACACAAATAGAAATTTGCAATATTGGAGCAACGGACCGGGCTCCAATCGGCGAAACATGCACTAGATTATTCCGACAATAGCAATTGACTTAGTACGGTATCGCTTTGCACTGGACAGGCATCTGAAAGCAGGCAAACGACGAGCAAAGTACTGTACGTTGACTTGTTCGTCTGATCGAATCTTGTCACAACGGTTTTCGCAAGGGTGCGCGCAAGGAAACGTTGTTATGGCTACCCATAACCCCCCAGCTACTGTATTCACGACTGTGCGATGCCGACAAGACAGTATGATTTATTTTTACAATAGTCAGGATGACACGTCAGTTCGTTGTGTTTTGGGACGGTGTTAGGTTTGAAGGATTTGATAATTTTTGGTACCAGTGGCTTTTCAGCTCATCTCAATGAGAACGTCCAGTAAGCCAAATAAGATGAAGAAGTTTGCACCACCTTCGCTTTCATACTACATTGAGGTATGAAGAAAAGCGTTGAAAAGATGTCAAGTGCATGGCGCGTCGCTCGAGCAGGCATAAGGAAAGCAAGAATCCAGCACAGCCAGGTGCTATTACTGATCCCCTGGCAGGTGACAACGGTATTGACGAATATCTCCCTGTCAATTTTTCGCATCGTTTTGACACGCTTTCAACTTATGTTACCGCAGATGAGCTTGTTAGCTTGCGGCTGGGAATTCGTAGCTGAAGTGTCTCGCACTGGTGACATCGCTGGACCATTACAACTGATACTGCCGCAACTCGCTCTGTTGGCTGTCATCGGAATACAATTCTTCCCGGCTGTAGATGTACGCTATCGCAAATACGTACGTGCGAATATTTGTTTTTTCCGTCGGTATACGCTGTTTTGCATCAGTGGACGTTCGATCGATCGGTGCTGTGTGCTTTTGTTGTAGATCGATGGCATGGTCATGCTGCTGGTTCCACTTTTTGGCGTTACCATTGTCCATTCGTGTTTTCGAATGGGCATCAGTTTGTGCTGCTGCTGTCGCTCATTGTGGTACGTAACGTCACATTTATAGTTTTCGGGAAGACTGATACGATACTGGTTAATCTCTTCATCACAGCCCAGTCGCAAATTCTGCTGAAGTGAAACCAGATACCACTGCTTGTGGACTCGTAGTAAGCAACTGGTGCGCTCGTTCTTCGTTTGAAAGTGGTTACACTTCTGTTTGCTAATTACACGATCCGTGACTTCAGCTATATGGCGTTCATTCGCAAGGTTGCTCACTTCTACGGCATTGTAAGCTCAATGGAGACACTTGTAAGCGTAATTTATCGTGTTGCAAAAGCAAGTCAAAAGAGCTCATATAGTGATGGCGTTTCGATTTAGGCAGCGACAATGGTTGGCAGACTGGCTATCACCAGTCGTCAATCGTCTGCATTCTCGATTTTTACAGATTTTCTTTTCAAAACGCGTCTATAGCAGTACTGGTCCATGCCAGTTTTCTACACCAATGTATTCTAGCGCCAATTTCCTACGATATTGCTGTATTTCACCTATTTCACGTCGTTGTACCACGTGCTGCTTGCTTTGAAATCCAGACATCAGTAAATCACATTCCAACGTCTATCGTGCAAGATAAAATAAGTAAGCTATACGTTGCTAAGTAAGTCAGGTAAACTTAACGATCGGCCACCGGCTCCGTTATGTAAGCATATATCGCACGACTTTAGAGTCTAAATAAGCTGTGGCATCACTAAGCTTTATGTGTAAAATTTTTTTTTTAATGATGTCAAGTCATTTATAGATGTGAAGTATGATGTCAAACCGAGCATTTTTTGCCAGAAGTAGGTCTGTTCAAACCTATTCTTTAGTAGCTTGTGTTCTACTATAACTCAGGCTACAGCAAGCGAATGGATGAAAATAAGTGGAAATTAGAGTGTTTAACGTGGATGACTGTTGAAGTACTTTTGAGCATTAGAGTGAGGCCTCGCTTCACATAACGCCGACCTAACGAGGGAGCAGTTATGGTAATGTTGAAGATTATTGAGTAAACAATTGTAAGCGAACAATAACGTTATGTACAATCGACTGCGTGTATACAACTGCTCGTGCGTCGTCGTATACTCCATTTGAGAATGTACGACTAGTTGTACCTGCAAAAAAACCGAAATAATCCTTGTGCCGCCTACATCATAGTTAAATTTCGAATATTATGCAAATAAGAGCTGTAAAATTCTTCAAGCTCTTTAACACTCAGTGCATTAGGATCAAATCACTGGTCACATAAGTATCAATTTTTGTTGCCACTCACTGAAAAATTAGCATTCTTTCAAACTAATTATATTTCGTTGATTTTTAATTAAATTACTTCTTTTTACGTAATGAGCGTAATTAAAATTATGCATTATTTCTAATTAGTCAATTGGCGCGTCAAGCGTTTGTTTTGGTCTTTATAAAGCTCGCTATGGTGTCCATACGAGTCCGGGATGAGTTTAAAACTTGAATTGTTGTCATATCTTACGTTTCGCAGAAAACACGTTGTACCAAGTAATAAACGTTGCTTTTGATCTTTAAAGATCTGCTCAATTTCTATTCTTGTTCTCGAATACTTTTAAACAGCTTGTTAAATGTATGTTCGCGGAAATATTTTGCAATGGAAATATTTTCCTTTTCCCCAACAATGAAGTTATTCATATTCTCGCCCTTGAGTTTATTCACCCTACACTGACATGGTACAAGTGCTGTACAAAAGACACAAAGCTCATTTGTTGCTGAACGATTTTCTTAAGTCTGAGCGAACAATATAATGAAGAAAGTGGCAAGAATTGTCCTTTTTAGTCGTTCACTATGCCAAGCTGCTGATGACACGATAATCTTACAGCACAAATACATCCATTCTTGATAAGGCAAGTATGGATCGATGGATGGAAGGCAATTAAGCTGAACGATCAAATGTGCAAAAACGATATTGATTTCCAGCATTTTTGATGTAAAGAGCGTAAAAAATCACCAGTAAATATTCAACTTAGTCACTTTAGCGGCGGCGGCTTTTACGAGCGAGTACGAATGCATATTTGTACCGCTCTCCACCATACCCCGCAACTACCCTAAGCTTTACCGCTACTCTGCAACGGGTAGTTTTTTGACTAAAATTCATTTCCTGAGCCAGCCCAAAAATCCGACCAAATAACCTGACGACTTATTTGGTTTTGTTTAAAAGCAAGCTTGAAGCTGGAATCACATGTTTACTGCCCTTGATGCGCACAGTGTTTCCACCTGAAGCCGCAATGGGGGGGGGGTGTCAGTGGTTGCATCTAAAACGACAGCAGTTCAGCTCGCCAGTAGACTTCTTTGCGCATTTCTACAGGCTAGTGAGAACCTACAACAATAGTCCCACGCCTGAACTCATGCTCGGCGTCTTAAATAATTTTCTACTATTTTATATTCAGGAGAAGGGTAAAAATGGCAAACAGTCGGAAAGGCATCATTGTAGAGAACCGCCTGCAGTTGAATCAAGAATCTATTCACAATTCTCATCAAATGGAGGATTGACAAATATTAATATTGTAGCGGAGCTACACAGCTCTTTAAGTCAGAGGAAGAGTTAGTGCTCAAAGAGCAATATTAGATCGAAAGAACTATAGTCGACAAGTCATCAAGCATACAGCTTATGATCTATGTCCAAGGGACCGAACGATTTAGTGAATCTACAGCACTTAGTGCTTAAGAGCAGCTAGCTCAGGTAGGTGTTGCTATCTCTTAATGATCTACTATCAGAGATGCTTCGCAGGGCACGTGTCTTAATCAAGATCAAAAGGGTTGCTTTTAATTCTATAAAATGTCCTAATCTTAGCATTACCTAATGTGGGCACTCATGTACTATTAAATATCTTCAAGGTTTTCCCATCTTGTGGCCGACACCCGTCAGCCCCTATAAAAAGATGAGATATTCTATATCACTATCAGTGGGATACCATCTTGTGATTACAAGACACAAGGGTACTTTAAGGTATTTAGACCCTTCACAATTTTCATGGTTGTGCATGTGAGCGGAATACGTACACGAACATGCGACATAGCATTTTTAAAACCAGCAGGATCGGCAATAGCGGTAAACGAAGGCAAAAAGATGAATACATACGTAGCACAAATTAGTACAGGTGACTAGGGTACTCGCGCAATTGGCTACGCGTCCATACTATCTGTGATTTGTGTAGTTTTGTTCAATGCTTACTTAGGGCGAAAAAAGGACCGGAAAACGTAAATTGCTTCCTTAAAGTTGTTTAATCTACATTGTATACAGATGGTATGTTCTGAATGCGACGCTTCTGATTACCAAACATCTTCTTCTTGAAGATTGTTATGCGCCACTTTAATCATAACTCTGACATCCTTAAATGCACTCACCCATCTTTTGATTAGCCGCCCTCAATGTAAGAGTGGCAGTGTCGCCTAACATTGTAAACTATATAGGAATTTGTAAACCGTTCCCTTGTTCAAACGAGTAAGATTTAAGGCACAAATAATTATACTCGCTAATTGTGTAAAAGTTATTATATAGGAATTGATATTCCTACTTCTGCTGCTTGAAAGTGACGCGTGGTATTTATTGTGACAAATGTTCTTGAATATTGTTAAATACATTACACTTTTATAAGTACACTTTATCTACCACATCCGTACTACACCACAATATGATTTAACGACGAACATCACGCCAACACACCTCTATAAGAAAGCCATTGCACAAAATGTTTTGTCGATCGTACAAATAATAATTGGTTTTTCAAGCATGATTCTTGTAGCACACAACAGACGATTGAAGCTTTTTGCTTTCGTACAAAATGATTCACAAACACAACACACTCGTCACTACATGTTGTGTACATTAAATAGCAATTTTAGTCCATTTAATGCTGACACAATAGATAACAGATAACGCGCTCAACGCCGTCTGAGTCGTACTGCGTTAACGCGCAGCCGATTGCAAAATCGCTGGTGTCACAGACCACGTCGAATGGTCTAATTTGGTCTGCAATTGCCAATACAGGCGATTGCACCACGCTTTTCTTGATACCTTCGAAGGAGTGCTGACGATCAGCACTTCATGACCACCTCTCGTTTTTCTTATAAAAACGAGAGAGATTTACGGTCACCTCGGCGTAGTTGCGCGAGTACTTGTACAAGTACGCCGCTAAGCCAAGGACATTTCGAAGTCCCTTGTCGTCGACTGGCACGGTCCAGTCTCTAATCGCCTTGATCTTGTCTGAATCAGGGCGTACGCCATGTTTACCCACGATGCAGCCGAGAAGTGGTAGTTCGCTCGCTGCTAAAATACACTTCTTGAGGATCGCGAACAAATTATGCTCACGCATAAGTGTAAGAACCTCCCGGACGTGGATTCTATGAGCCTCCACGTACGTCTTTCCATCCATAGCCAGGCAATGGACGAAGACATCGTATAAGTAACTCGGTGCGAGACTTTGCACCGATCGCAACGGATTCGTAACACATCTGCTGAACGTTGCGGGGGCGCTACTTAGCCTCTGTGGCACCACTAGCCACTCACAGAGTATACCGCTGGGGGTGATCACTGCTTTGTACGGGCTGTCCCGTTCACGCGTGATGATCTGATAGAATCCATCCATCGGATCCATGGACAAAAATATGGTACTTTTTGCCATACCATCTATGATAAAGTTCTTCCTCGGTAACGGCGTCTGAGCTGGTACCGTTGCAGCGTTCAATTTGTTGAACGCGTGCACTAGACGCCACCCTCCTGTGGCCTTTCGCACCCAGAAGGTCGATGAGCTGTGTGGGGATGCTGTACCTCACATGACCAGCTGCTAAGCAATCGGCAGCGCATTTTTCAATTGATGTGATCAGTTCACGAGGCATTGGCCACTGCTTCGTGACATAGTACTTCTGATTGGGTTTTGGTTCGATTTCATGTCGAGTGCCTTTGTCCTTAGGCAACACGCAAGGTACGGATTCAGAGAAAACAACCCCGATTCGACCAAATCCGCATACAAAGAAATTGGCTTCAAAGACTCCCAATATTAGGACGTGTACCGCTCAATCTGGGTCTTCTCATAGAGGACACTTTCTTCCATCGACGAGCTACTGAGAACCCGTTCGTTCTCAGCAAACACTTGTGCCGACCGAATATCGGCAGCGTACTCGTCCTCCGTGACGAGTACGCAGATCTCGCAAGAATCTTTTAGATTCTAGCGTTGGCAACTCGATTGCCTCCGAAGCTGAATTCGGAGGTGTAACCAGATCAAGTGTATAAGCGCCTACACTTGATCCGTCATTCATTAAGACATTCGCTGTCTCGGTGCTTTCCTGGGAAATGCATCCACAGGTGAGTGGAGAAACACACCCTCAACATGACTCTCTCGGGGATTATCACTCTCAGTAACTCTACAACTTTCTCCCAATACGTGTTTTGACAGTGGGTGCACTACCACAGTCATGTC